CTCCACCCCGAGGACAGTGACACTGGTAGGCATGCACCACGACCCATCTGTCAGCAGCGCAGCACATGTGTCATGATGTGTCATCATACGAATCATCATCAACACGTATGCTAGACATAGACGGGACACCTCATTTGATCCTGGTAATGTAGTTGTGGCATTCCGCTTGTTTTGTTCGTGTGATGGGTGTCCTTTTGCCGGACATTTGATTCGTTCGTATGCAGAATGCATCAAATCCGACACCTGCACGCCTCGTAACAGACTAGTCGTAAAGAAACAGCCGTCACTCAAACAGGTCAGGCAGCTCAGAAAGCTTTGGTGCGGGTTTGTGTGGTCCGCTTGTCATAACATGGCACGGTGCTCGAAGCCCTGCTGTTTCTTACAGCTTGCGACAAGTTTTCATGGCACCTCTGTTCTGTGGACGAAAATGTTTGGAGACAGCTGTCACGTGGTTTTCAGTGCGCTGCCCACGGCGCAAGCAAAGGTGAACGACTGGAAGAGATAAAACGGATTAAAGACCCCTGGGAGCATGACTGAATGGATGTCATAAGTTGTGCGCCATTTTACGCACCCACCCAGCGGACGCGGCTCAATGTCGGCCACGTGCGCAACGCCAGATGCATATTCCACCCGGCCGTAACAGGACTCTGGTGCGTCATAACCGCACCGGAAATCATCGCAGCCCAATCTCAAGCGACCATTTCGCGCACGTGGGTAAACGAATCCGGCACGTCGCTCCACGGCGAGATCGCATCGATCCCGCTGGCCGCGCCCCGCATCGGCTGTCCGACGCGTCCCCGCGCCACCCCCGTGGCTCGGCCGCCTTCAATAAGGGTCCGTCTCGCCTCGGAAGCACGCCCTCGCACTCTCGAACTGCAATTGTCTGCTGGCGACTTAATCCGTTGCGTCGCAGCTCGTCTCCACGACGATGGCGCCGCGTCAAATTGGCCGGGCAGCTGTCGCCGGAAACAGCATGCTCATCGCGGTAGTGGGCGCCAGCTGGTTTACACCTCGTTTGTAACGGGGGTGTCCCTTCATGACCCGACCTCAACAAAATGGCGGCCTTCGACCGGCGTTTCTTGTCGCACAATGACGAAACTAGGGCCTGGGGAGGAGAAAGCCTTCGCGTGTACGGCTACGGTCACCATTCAGAGGTTCAGCAGGGTGCGTTTTTGCTATGAAAGCCCATATGTTGACGAGAGAATGATGTGTGTCATTTGTTGGCCTCTACTTAGAAAGGGCCATTGGTCTTACGCTGAATTTTGGAACATCTGGAGGTACATATATCAGCAGATAAGAAGAAAATAACTGCATTCGAAAAAAGCCAACTAGGGCAAGCATTATAACGAAAATAACCAGTAGCCTGATAACACGTTATCAGACGTTAAAACACCTTCATTCCAGTGCCGTGCATGGTGTCCATGGATCACCAATCATCAATTACTGGTACATAGCAAGGTTGTTACTTTTATGAGCCTAAAAGGCTACCAGCGGAGATGTCTCAGAAACTCCGGGCAAGGGAGCCAAAAGCCTCGAAAGTTGACAGACTTCCGATGGTATCTAACAGGCTTTAAGGGGAGGAGTTCGTAGACTCTTTGCGAGGGGGCTTGACGGACTCCCGTCGTGGCTTCCGACAGACTTCCGTCCGGGTGGCGCACAGACCCTGCCGGGACGTCTGACAGACTCACGTCGGGGCGTCTGACAGACTCACGTCGGGGCGTCTGACAGACTCACATCGGGGCGTCCGGCAGACTCACGCCGGAGCGTCTGACAGATTCACGTCGGGGCGTCCGGCAGACTCATGCCAGGACGTCTGACAGGTTCACGTCGGGGCGTCCGGCAGACTCACATCGGGGCGTCCGGCAGACTCATGCCAGGACGTCTGACAGGTTCACGTCGGGGCGTCCGGCAGACTCACATCGGGGCGTCCGGCAGACTCATGCCAGGACGTCTGACAGGTTCACGTCGGGGCGTCCGGCAGACTCATGCCAGGACGTCTGACAGATTCGCGTCGGGGCGTCTGACAGACTCATGGCGGGGCGTCCGGCAGACTCATGTCAGGGCGCCTGACAGACTCACTTCGGGACCTCCGACAGACTCTCGGCAGGGCGTCTGACAGACTTCCGTCGGGGCGACCGACAGACCCCCGGCACGGTGACAAACCGGCTTCCGTCGGGACGATTGGTGGTCTCCTGTCGGGGTGTTTAACAGGGTGTCCGGGCAAAAGTCAAATGGGCAAAGAGTAGAACGGAAAAGTCAAACAAAAAAGCCTTACAAGAAAAAGTTGGTAGGGATAAAAGTCAATTGGTTTTAAAGCCGAATCGGAAACAAGTTGAACGACAAAAAGTCGACTGGGATAAAGGGCGAAATGGAGAATGGTCGACTTGAAAAACTTTAACAGAGAAAGTCGAACTGAAAAAGTCTGAGGACCAAAAGTAGAACGGACATCATGTTGACAGGGACTTAGCATAAAAAGCCAAAAGACAAAACGTGCAGATGGACAACAGCCGGCAGGAAGCCCACGAGGCACTACGGAGTACTCCTGACGACACACCCGCTATCATGACGACACACCCGTTATCATGAGAACAGCTTGAACCACCGAGCACTGACACAACACAATACCGATGTTGGCTCCATTACGTCGTTTAACCACACCTTCTGGTGTATTGAAGATCGATAACTGCGCATGTGAACTCTAAGCTCATAATGCCTGACGCAGGAATGCTTTTTCGGATTCAGTTGGGAAAGGAAGGGCCCAAGCGCCCTCCCCCAACTTAAGGAAAAAGGGAATCGATTTCGGGGAGAAACTCGTTCATTGAAGTTTTGATAGAACGTTGCGTCATTTTCCTTTCCTTCACCTCCCTCCCCCCCCCCCCTTCTCACCAACTCATTTTGAGAAACTACACCCCTGGCTGAATAACCAAAAGTTTATTCCGGTCCCGTTATTATGTAGGTTATTGCCGCCCCTTTTCACTAATAGAAGGCACCATAGTGTTATGTTGGGAACGGGCTCATACCATGTGGGTGTTTGCGAGATTTCATAGCATACGCAGATCCACTGCCAACACGGTCGCATAACAGACACCGTCTTCTGTCCTGCGGCCGCCCTGCGTACTCCGCTCCACTCCCTCTTCTCAACACACACCGCCGGGGACACCGGAGCCTCGTGCCACTCCGCAACCGACGAGAACCAAGTGGTGTTCAGTTGATACCTTTATGGAGGAGCCATCTTTGGGCCTTAAGGTAGCAACATTTCACTTAGGCCACCTCAAGATTCGTCTGGTCCCGGTTCCACCCGATCTGGTCACATCTCGCTTGTTTTCGCCCGGTCCCTTCTGGCGTGACCTGGTCTCGCACGATCCCACCCGCCCCGTCCCGTCCCGTCCCATCAAAGGACCACCCTGTCCCATCCCACCTCATCTGTCTCACCGCTTGGCCGCAGCTTTATGCACATCTCATACCAGGCTTTAACTTATGATGACTTTCCATTTTGAAACAATTTGACTACTATTGTTTTTTTACATATCCGAGCTGAACGTTACCCCTGTCGATTTTTGTTTGTCGAATTATGGTGTTTGTTCCTTTATCTCTGTTGAGTTTTCCCTTTTGACTTCTCCCCTCTTCGACTTTAAGTATTCCGGCTTTTTCCGATTTGGCCTGTATTCCTGTGGACTTTTAACCTTTTCGGCTTTTCGCTATTCGGCTTTTTTCGTTTGGCTTTTTCCCACTTGATTTCTTCCATTCGATATTTTGTCGGGGAACCGTTCGATAGACTCCCGTCGGGGCGACCGACAGACTCCCGTCCGGAGGTCCGACGGACTCCCGTCCGTGGTCCGACAGACTACGTCAGGACTGCCGACAGACCCTCGGGAGGACGACCAACAGACTCCCGACGGGACTTCCAACAGACTCCCGGCAGGGGCGACCGGCTGCCTGTCGGCCGTGGGAAGCCGGCCGGTGGAACGGCTCCGGTTGCCCGCTCTTGAGGCCGTGGCGCGCCGGCAGGCAGGGCTGATTGTCCGCAAACACCGGGCCTCGCCCAACGCGGAGGTGCGCCTCGACACAGGCCACGTGCGCAGCGGTTAGATGCAGGGCACGGCCGCCGCTCGCCTCATCTGGTATGCTAATGAAGGCTTCCGGAACGTGAAATTGCGTTCGTTTTAAAGTGTTTTGAAATCAGTCGGAACTTCATTCTGTGTATGCGCAAGCCACCAGCGTCAGGCTTACTTCACGAAATAGTTGTACGTGCTAACTACGTACGCATACGCACTTGTTTGGTCCCATTTTTACAAAGACCAGCACACAAATGGTTGATAAGCACCTGACTTGCTACCATTAATTAGTCGCTAACATCAGTAAACTCAATGTTCGACTAAACAAGGCGAGACAATATCGATCGGGTGAGGCCTACTTTTAAACACAAAGCAGACGCTTTCAACATCTCCCGACCGTGACGACCCGAACCAGGATTGACGTACCCGACTTGCTCGGAAATGTTCCAGACGCGACTGGAGAGACTGTCAGCTCCGCTCCGCAGCGTTTGACCTCATGAGTGATTGGGGGCGAGCCGGAGATGATACGCACTGATCGGGCCATTTTTGATTGTTACCAACAGACTCGGATTTTAGGATTATAGGTGCCTTGCCGAACGCTCAACATACGTCGTTAAAACGAATCAGGTGAATATGTTTGAGAGTGATCAAAATATGGACGTGGTTATGGACCTGTCTTGAGTTCAGACTGTGTAACCCGGGCTAACCCATGTCTTCTGTCACCAGGAAACACTTGCCGCTGGACCGGTCCTTGACTAAGACAGTGTGCCCTGGATTAGCCCATACTTCCCGTTTCAGGAAGACACGCGCTGCTGGGTCTGTCCTGAGCTCAGGCAGTGTAACCGGGACTAATCTATGCTCCCCTGTCACAGGGAGACACGTGCTGCTGGAGCTGTCCTGAACTCAGGCAGTGTAACCGGGACTAATCTATGCTCCCTGTTGTAGGGAGACACGTGCTGCTGGATCTGTGACAGCTGCGAGCCGTACGAGTACATGAAGGACCAGTACACCTGCGAAGACTGCGGTCCCGGTCGTTGGCCCTTCGAGGACAAGCTCTCCTGCTACGACCTGGAGGTGCAGTACATGAGGTGGACCTCGCCGCTGGCCATCGGACCCATCGTCATCGCAGTGGTCGGTACGTGATTCGAACAGCGGTGCTCGGTCAGATAAGGGGAGGCTGAGACAGACATGAGCAGTGGCTTCTTTCGTGTCACGGTACTCCTGAGATATGACAAGGCAGGATCGGCTGCACACTCGGTCTGGCCTCACTCGCCGGTCGCGTACATCTTTGCGTTGCCTCGACGGACCTAAAGTCTCATTCATGGTGGGAAATTTATATCTGGCTGTAAGCTAGGCAAAAGGCTACGCTACGCCGGCGTATGTCATCCGACGCAAAGCAAAAGCTGGGGAAAGAGCAAGGTACGTTAAGTCATGCCAGATGAACCTTGTCCGGATGCAAAGGCAAACAACTAAACCAGCGAGTTCACACGTCTGTTCATACAACACATCAGCGTGGCCGCAAACATGGCGCCGACGCTGCCACCAGCAGCGTGTGCGCATGCGCTGCGCCACGCGTCTTGGATCATCAATAGGCTTTGGGCGGTGTGTTTGAATAACTGGTCTCCAGCCACTCCTCCACCCCGGGAACCTTGGGCATGATCGAAGGTCGAAATGGAAGCACTGGGCCCATTTCGATCACAGCAACGTGTTTGTCATGTGAAACTGGCTGCTTACGAACAAACTTGTGTTCCGCTCCAATGTTGAGCCGGCTCAGGACCGGCCGACATATTCGGCATTCGATTCAGCTCATGACTCATAGCTGTTCCAATTTTTTTGTTGGGCTTAGGTTCAGGCCCGTTCTCTCGCACTTAATTGTTTCACTCATGGCTAACGCAGCTTGCAGAATCAAACATCCGATTCAGTTCTGACTCATTGTCTTATTACTCGTGAACCATATGAGTCACATATATATATATATATATAGTATATATATAGATATATGAGTGAGAGGTAGTGATGAGTGAGTGGGTGTTGGCGCGGAGCGCGCGTGGGTGGTGTTGTGTGGGTTCTGCTGTGCGTGCGTTGTGGTGGTTCGGGTGAGTATGTGAGTATTATGTGTGATATGTATCGGATGTGGTGCTCGTGATATGTGGTATGTGTGGGAGATGTTGTTATATGTCTGGGGCGTCTGTTCGTGTGTTTGTTTGTGTTTTGTGGCTTTTGTCTGTGTGCTCTTGGTGTTTCTGTTGTGCTGGTGTATCTGTCTCTTGTGTGTTTTTCTGTTGTGTTTGTGGGTGTGTGTGTCTTGTGTGTGTGTGTGTGGTGTGTGTGTGTGTGTGTGTGTGTGTGTGTGTGTGTGTGTGTGTGTGTGGTGTGTGTGGTGGTGTGGTGTGTGTAACACCAGGGCCGTTCGTAACATGCCGGGGCATTCATAAGCATTTTTCTGTCGGAACTAGTATCCACATTTGGTATTTTCATACTACATATTCGACCCGGAATGTCGCACAAAACGACACTGATTATGAGCCCCTTTTATGTACAGGGATTGCAATGAGGTAGTTCATAAGCGCGATGAATGGTTCATCCGTGGCTCGATAATCCATTGAAATATGAATGATAGTGAACTTTTACGGATACATGTATTACAAATTGTGAAAATGCTCTTACATTTAGGGCACTTAGTTCGTACGTAGTTCGTGCGTTGCATATTTGAAGCACTTGTGTTTTTGATGCTATAATCGGCTATCACAGAGTTTGTTTTATATGGTCTATGGCATAAGATGGACGTTTCGGATCTGACTTCAGGTATCCTGTTGACGCTGCTGGTGATCGCGCTGTTCCTGCGTCACGACGACACGCCGATCGTGAAGGCGTCGGGTCGCGAGCTGAGCTACATGCTGCTGGCCGGCATCCTCATCTGCTACCTCAACACCTTCCTGCTGCTGACGAAGCCGAGTCCGGCCGCCTGCGCCCTGCAGCGGGTCGGCATCGGCCTCGGCTTCTCCTTCATCTACGGCGCCCTCTTCACCAAGACCAACCGCATCTCGCGCATCTTCTACTCGGCGTCGCGGTCGGCCAAGCGGCCGAGCTGCATCAGCCCCAAGTCGCAGATAGTGATCGCCACGCTGCTCATCTGTGTGCAGCTGTTCGGCACGGTGGCCTGGCTGATTGTGGAGCCTCCCGGCGTGCGATTCTACTATCCCGACCGCAGCGAGGTCATACTGAAGTGCAGAATCAAGGACTCGTCCTTCCTCGTCTCGCTCGTCTACAACATGGTGCTGATCGTGGTGTGCACGGTGTACGCCGTGAAGGCGCGCAAGGTGCCCGAGAACTTCAACGAGACCAAGTTCATCGCCTTCACCATGTACACCACCTGCATCATCTGGCTGGCGTTCGTGCCCATCTACTTCGGCACAGGCAACTCGTTCGAGGTGAGTCCATCACCGGCTGATCGATCGGGCGATATTTCCAGCGGCTTTCGACACTTGGTTCGATGCGGGAATTCGGAGTGACCTCGATGAAATGTACGGGCGATAGAAAATAGTCGGGAAGATAAACAAAAACGGACATGGTAGTAGAACAGTTTGCGGAGTTAATAACCGGTTTTGGGGAAGAAGTGTTTCATGCACCCTTCTGCTTTAGCTGTGTTGTTTCTGTTAGCAACGATCACAATTTATAACAACTTAGACATCAATATTGACTTATTCATACCGCATGCAGCGGTGTAAAATACCAAGATGGCTGAACAATGCTAGATCAACGTTTTGAGATGAATTGCCAACTAAAGAAATGTTAAGCTGCAGGTACTCATTAACCCATTGATTGAGGCTGAGCTGACTAACCAATATTTTACACGTATCCGTCGTTGTTCATGAAGTGATGCCAAGGCTCGCTGTACTAGGAATGTCCACCTGTGGAGGCAGTTATGTTGCATAGTATTGCAGCTCCTTACAGCGTGACTACATAGCAAGATTAAGTTATTGGTGCTGTAACAGTACGGTGTCATCATAAATCATTCATAGTGTCGTAATTCCGTTTTGGTGCAGAAAACCTGCAGCCATAGAAAATACCGTCACCTCGTAAAGATGGCATGCTCATCTGGCTGCACTGGATGTGTGCTATGTTCAGTACTCAGAAACCAGCCAATTTACCAGCCATTACGCACATGTCGAACTATATCAATCTGAGCGCCAGCTCGGCGTTATAATCATGCACAAACACTATACGTGCGGGCCGTGGAGAGCGAGTAGCTGGTCATTTCTCACGAATCACGTTGCCTCGTCTTTCTCCCCTCGCTCAATTGAGCCATTGCGTGTTGTTAGGCTGGCGGTGGGAAAAATGTGATCCTTTCCTGGCTTACGGCCAGCGTGTGGAAGTTTCCTGTGCGAGTGCCACGGAATAGCGCCTGGGTGGGCTTTTCCGTATTTCCTTTTTTAGTTGTGTTTTATCAGCATGTGCGGTTAGTAGATACACTGACTGCGCCCGGTAACTCGCTAACAGTCGCTATTATATTTGGGCTGTGTATCCGACAAATACGGGCTGGCAGCCTACAGCGCCTGTCGGATAGCTGAGAGCTGAGTCGCCCTATGTGGATAGCAGCTTGGGCAGTCCAGACGCGCGTCCACTGTAGCATTACAGTCCTTGTAAAATGTGAGGCAGGAGCACCGTGTTCGTGTTAGCCCGCCGATGCTTCTGACAACCTCCGCTAGCACCGCTGCATGCATGCGATCCCCTCTTACACACGGACACGAATCGCCTGATGACGCTGCGATACGCGTGCTCATGGACGGGCGCGGCTCAGGCCGGCGGAGCGCGGCACAGCAGCGCCAGAGCCAGCCCTCCCGTCGCTCGCAGCTGTCTTCCTTCGGAGGCGGAATCTGTCGCGGCAGAGCTGCAAAGCGGCTTGCTCCGCCTGGAGCTGTGTTGAATAGACGGGCTACCGCCGCCCGCGAGGGTGCGCTTTGTCAATAGCGGCACCAGCGACGCCCGGGCGCATTCGCGTGACAGTTTTGGTGGACGTGCGCGCAAGCTCGCTGCGCACGCCTGTGGGGACCCGCCTCTCGCCATCGCTGTGAGCGCCCGCCTCCACAGAAGTGATGCCTGGGGACTTCTCTACTAGTTACCAATAACGGCTCACTGCAAAGAAGCCCTAGGATGATATACGTGCAACGTTGCTTTATGTTTCTGTTTTAATTGACACGGATAACGTTCACACCTGTACCCGCACTAACTAGAAGTCATTACCAGGGTGTTAAAACCACACGCTCTTGCGTAAAAACATTACCGCCGCCACCAGGTCATACTGCAGTGAGGAAGATTCCCGTGGTACGGGTTAGCACCAGCGGCCAGCCACCTCCGACCATCGTCGCCTTCTGGCTGCTTCTGTAGCAAACCTGCGCTCCACTGGAGCCGACGTGGCTGCCACGGATTGGTAGGCTGGGCCGGGCAATCGGTGACAATCGGTAATTTATTGGTGGACAATCGACACGATGGAGTCTGACTCGAAAGACCAGGTCGTGATCGATAGCTTTGCTCGGTGCCCTACCTCCAACGCTGTTAAATGCCATCCTATTTAAAGTGAGTATGTCAACTGTTAACTTAGATCAGACGCGGCCGATTTTGTTGTTAATACCAGTTTTCTCGAAATCCTCCCCAATAGCCCAGAGTGTTGATTTAAGATAGCCGCTCCGACCGGAGAAATGTCGATGGACTACTCCCTGCACACCACGATGAAAGTAAATTTTTCATTCGCTTTGACTTTCCCATCATGTGCGTCATGCAATGTTTGCAATTAACTGATTGGTCAAGCTTTACATGCAGCAATTGGTATGAAAGGACAAAGAAGCCTTTTAAAGGAAACGTATCGACATATGACGTCATTATTACGCGAATGCAACGAAACACCATTCTACGGCTTTGCTTTCTCGCATGTGGGCATTTAGCGCAGCGCTTTTTTCCAACGGCTTTTTGTCTTTGGAAAACGTCGTTTACTTGGGGGTTCAGTTCGTCGCAACACCGTGTTTACAAAGCAGGTACACATCAGGGACATATCCTGAGGTCAAGTGACTATCAGGGACATATCCTGAGGTCAAGTGACTATCAGGGACATATCCTGAGGTCAAGTGACTCACTGGCTCAAATTTGCATCAATGCCCTCGCTAAATGGCTAAAGCGGCCGCTGTGCCAATCGCAAACGTGCATTTTGGCTGACGTCGGTGATACCCATAAATGGCGGATCACATTCTGACCACCACACTTCAGGTGTACTAAGAGGGTGATTGTGTTCACAAGTAGCTTTTTCTCTTCACCATGCCATGTGCACGCCAATTTTGAGCAATATCGACGTGATTCCGTAGCGTACATTCGCGGGTGTTACAACGAATATTTCACTTGAATGTCTTATGCGTGCCAATATTAACTATTGCAAATCCAAGGAAAAAGTTAAATGTGCTCCCGAAATGTTAAACGCATAATTGGGGCACGAGACTAATTGATTTGCTCATTATATATAGTTGGTGCCGCATTGGCAGCTTTCAGTGTGCTTCTTAGACATAACTGTTCCTGAAGTTCCATCATATAATGTTTTTGGAATTTGCCCCAAAGGTGGCACACTCTTTTCAAGGTTATGACAGACGAGCTCTTGATCACAGCCCTGTTCGTTCACCAGCATTGCCCATTGTAGACTTCCGTCGTTGGCAATGGCAAACTGGTCCATCGCTATACACTAATGAAGAAGATACTTTGGTAATCGGAGTGAAGAATTGGTCGTTCAAGTTAAGCAATGGGCTTATTGACCAGGGAAGCGTTTGGGACGGATGGCATGAATGGTATCCTATTTAGGTTTAGATGGGTAGCTGTATTGCTTCCTTTCTACTATCACACCGCATTCCTTACAGCGACAGAGACCTCTTCACTGCCAGGGGCTAAGGCTCGAAATCGTCCGACAGAACACCGACGAATGGAAACGGAGATCGCTCGTGCCGGAGTTAAGGCGCTTTCGCTCGCGCAGCCAGTCCCTTCTAGGCTTTCGGACACTGCGAAGCCCGGAATATAAATGAGTCCAGGAGTCCAGCTCAGACTGAACGGCGATTCATGCGCTCGACTTCTGATATTTTCGTCCTGTTTCAATATTTCATTCTCAACGTACCTTTGCTTAACCACCATAAATCTTTGGTTTTCCCGTCAGTAATGCCAGTCGGAAGATTAATTATTCGTTTGAATCGTCTATCACCGCTTCACTATACGGGCATAACCCATTTGGGCTTCAAGTGAGCAATGGCTTATTCGACGTAATGTGTCATGAACACGCATGAAGCTGACCCCCTGAACAAATTGGCACAGACAGGTATTGACCCTCACCAGGTGGGTGCTACATATCTTCACTGGCGTCCAAGCACGTTACTGCGCGGGTTTATCAGGTGAACGATGATTGAGGTCCCGTTTGTACTTGGTTTTCACTGTCATCAGGGATATTGTAGGAAAAACTACCTCTCAGGATAAATATCGTTCACTTGCTCACGTTGCAGTACATTTTTCACTATCGATTATTGAGCAAAGCTCTTGGATTAGCCACAAATGATGTTCGAAAAGCTCCAAGAACGTATACGCGGAGCAGCTGGTTGTGTTCAGTGCATGTTCATCCTTTGTTATGCGAACAAACAATGTCTGTTAGATGCATAGATGCAGCGTAATGTACGAAGTGGGATGCGGAGTCATGTTTTGTCGCCATATTTCATTAATGTGTACCTGAGGTATTTAATGCTCCCTCCACAACCTTCGCACTGGCTGCTTCGCTGGTAGTAAGGTAGTAAACGGACTGATGAATGCGGGTGAGCCTGTTATTTTGTCTCCATGTACTCTGGTGTCAAGAGCCTTATTGAGCTTATTACAGCAGCCTATTTAATTTATATAATTCAGTTATCTGATTCAGCTTATTACCAAAGCTACATGCAAAGGCTTATCGTCCCTTTGGTCGTGGGAACCTGTAAGGTCACTCGGCCTGCTGAGCCTTCTCCCGTCGTGCATTCAATCATGCATAATTCACAATTACTTGAGTTGTCAAGTGCATTTGCGAAGAATCTTATAGATATAGATCAGGCAGTATCGTCGGCCGTATTCTTCGTAGAATAGCCAGGAGAAAGGAGGTATAGGTGAATAGATGTTTCGGCTGCATGCTTTTGTGGGAACGGGCATAGGAAGAGGAAAGAGAATATGGCTCTCCTTTTCCTAGTTATTCTGCGAGCAATAAGGCTGACAGTACAGTCTTATCACGTATAATTCAGATTCAACATGAGATCTTGCGCATGAGTTGCGCCCAACTGAGCCAAGTTGCGGCTGGCTTTCAAATGAATGTGTGCGAATGTAGAGACTACCTTAGTTGGCAGTGCATCTCAAGCATCGACCACCCGGTCGTTGAATGCATGTTTGCGTG